TGACCATTGATTATGAGAGCAAAAGCAGATGATGGGCCAGGTTCATTGTCTTCTGGCACCAGGATGTCATCATCAAAAGTGAATGATTTGTTTCTTATTCCCTGCAACTGGTTTCTGCTTCCTAGGTTCTTGTCATTGTTCTTGTTGAGCAAGCCTTTCACCTGTTTTCCTGCGCCCATTTTCCCTCCGCCATTTTGTGATTGCATAATAACTTCAATGTACTTTCCCAACTGGGCTTCCACATCTTTGTAGCTTGAAGCATCTACTATGAATTCATCATGCATTTCATCTGTGAGGAGCTCACAAGAATAGCCTATGTTGATAGCAGTCTCTGTTGGTGCAAGAGAAAAATCATTCATATAATTTTAAGTCGAGAAAAAGAGATTACCTTATTAAGTTGTAAAAGACCTTGAAGATATGAGATACTAGAAGTCCAACAGACCTATAACCAATCTTTCGCGTTCCTTAAGGGAACGCAATTAAGATGTAGTAAACAGGTGATTCTCACTAACTCAAGCTTCCTTTAGTGGAATACCTGATCCCTATATCCCTTGAGTGGAAAAGTCAGGATATTTTTTTTAACAATTCTGTGCCCATGAGCACTGACAATTCAAAAAATGTTCTGCATGATTAGAAAATAATATTGGACTTTTTCCCAACTTAGTCATTGATTGGTAACAAAAAGTATGACTTTTTTCCAGTGCTCAGTGGCACACAATTTTGTAAAAGTATCCCAACTTTGACACACAAGGGTTAAATTATTCTTCCTTTCAAAAATGATGCTTCATTTTTATCTCTGAGTCATACGGTGCTGTTAATGTTATATAAACAGAGAATTAAAATATATAGTTCAAAGAATGTATATGCTAAGCATTCAGGTGACTTGGTGGCCTTCTGGAAGACCTTTTTTGCTTCGAAGACATTAAATTTCACAGAGATAAATTTAAAATAGGCAATAACCTTGTTTGTCTCCAGTAAGCACCCAAATTTTAATTCCAGCTTGTGCCAAGTTGGCGATAGTTTGTGGCACCCCGTCTTGCAATTTATCCTCAATCGCAGTGGCTCCAACAAGCGTCATATCTTGCTCCAGCTCTTCATAAACCTGGTCAAGTTTCTCTTCTCTGTTGTCCAGACTGACTGAAGCTTCCTGCTGACGTTTGCGCCATGCCTGGAAAGTTCCCAGGTCCAAATCTCTACTTGCCAGCACCAGGGTTCTCAGACCATCACTGGCAAATGTATTCAGGTGCTCTTGTGTGCTGGCACTGATCATTAAAAAAAGAGCCGAAAATTAAAATTAATTGAATTTCATGAAACAAAAGGGCAGGAAGTTCATCATCATCGTTTTTTGTTATACCCTTGTCTGCTTTTTTCAGCTGCAGAGAGTCTCTCCATGACAATGCTGTCAGCGCCTTTGCAGAGAAGCCTGATTTTACCGGAACCGCTTCCGTTATTGTCTTCGCGAACCACAACGGACATCCGCTTTCTGACGTTGTTGAAATCAAGAATGCAGAGGAGTTCGTATTTCTTTTCCACTCCCATTTCCTGTAAAATTGAAAAACAAAAAAGCTCGTGAAAAACAATTGCTTTCAAGATATACTGGGTGTGTTTTGCCTTACAATCGTAGTGATCGTGTTTGGAGTCCGTTCCTTGAAGACGAAGCCAAAGTTTCGTGCTGCTGAGACCAGAGCTTCTTCATCTGGTGACTGTGCTTGGTAAACCAGTTTTCCTTGGAAGAAATCATTAATTTCGAGTTAATTTGTTGTTTTCTCTGTATATAGAAATCCATTTAAAACACAAGTGTTAGTGGCTGAACGTAGAAGAACTTGTCTCCATTCTCTCCCCGAATTTTGGTCACAATTCAAATTGTAAATTGGAGGATGAAATTAAATTCCAAATTTATCTGAGGGTTTTTTTTCAGGAGAGGTAAGTAATTTCACAAGTGCACGTGCAGAATCCGAAAGTTGAAATATAGCTATTTTTCAGGCGTAAATTCATTAAAGAAGAGATACGTAATTTCACAAATGTACGTGCGGAATTCAGGCTGAATTTTCCGGAAGTAGAACTATAGCTATTTTCACGCGTAATTTCATATTATCTCACCATCCTGTCGGTTGTGATCAGGCATGACAGTGTGACACAAAGCCAAGACCCTGAAGAATTCATGCACAGCTTGATTTCCTGATTTCACGTCCATGAGAAGAACTGGGTCATAAAACTTGAATTCCGGCTCGAAAAATGGGTTGTCCTCAGATAGGTCGATAGACTGCATGTCATCAATGTCTGAGGTAGCAGCTGTCTTGATGACTACAGGTGGATCCCCATACATCTTTCCACCGATTGAGCACTTGTTGAAAGTCATTATATTCTGAAGAAAAATACACATTCTAAGAATTTTGAAAACGGTTGGTATTTTAATTTATACAAAAATATTCATTTGGTTCCACCTCCAAGTTGGTTATTCCAAGCTTTGCTCAGAGGCACAGAGTCTTCTGCATGAATTGAATTATATATAAATTTTGCTAAAATCACAAACCACATGAAATTTGCATCAAGAATAATGCTAATCTTAGTAAGTCAAAATTTGAATGCACACTCGATTCATTAAAAATGTTTCACATCAAATTTTTTCATGCTTTAGCCTGACTCATATCCAAACAAATTTATTTTCATTTTTTTCAGAAGTTTTAAAATATTCATAGAATACCGAAATACAGTATATGTCACATGCACAATAGCAAAATTTTCTGGACGAAAATAAAATTTTATCCTGAATCAAAGTTTTTATTTACATTAATTCTCGAAAAATGATTTTTCCTCACATCACATTTGATTTCACCTGTGTAAGAGTTCCAGTTTTGTCTGAAAAAATGTATTCAATCTGCCCCAACTCCTCATTCAGGGTAGTTGTTCTGGCTTTGGCAGGAGTATCCTTCTCTTCGTAGTACATCTTCTCATCCCAGTTAATCAGCAAGCTTTGCAGCAGGCGGATGATTTCCACGCTCACATACAAGGAAATTGGCACCACGGTATTGAGGGCGATGAGGTAAGAAAAGAAAATCAAAATGGCGATCACTGTGGCTCCACTAGTGGCGTCCTCTGGGATCAAAGAGTCCCAAGGCATGAAAGATTGGAACTTGTGCCCTGTGACTGTCTCCCAGATCCCTGCTGCAATTGTGCACCACAAGCACATCAGAACCAGAAACAGCACAATCTGAAACAAAAGATAGTAAAATCTCAATTTTTCGTAATTTTTTTTAACATTCAAACTGAACTTCAATTTTGAAGAATTCTGTAGTACAATTTTAGTATACTAGGTTTTAGAATCCATTGGGACCTTGGAAAAACCTCTCATTTAATCAGGATTGTTTTATAATTGACAATTGATAAGTCAAACCTCCCAAAGTTAAATACTTTTTGTCAAATTTTTATAATCCCTGTCAGAATGCCCTTAAAAGCAATACATCACAAACCTCCCTAAGTTGAAGTCTTTTCCCATGAAACCTCTGTAAGTTGAATTTTCTGATGTCTCTTGGCTATTATTTTCTTGAAATATGAAAGAGAAAAAGGATTAAAGAATCTTGAAAAGAAGTGAATTGTTGAGCAAATGAACCCCTGCATCCAAGTTCAGCATGCTAGCAGTAAACTCATTAAGAAGAAAGTTAATGCCCAGAATATCCTCATTTACAATTTTGCGCATTTCTTCTGCAATTTCTTGCAACAGAAAGGTATGTTTCCATAACTCAAAACAACCCAAAATAAAATCTTCCTGAGTTTAAACCCCTGTGAGTTGATGTTTTTGCTGGTCCCTTGCAATTTGATTTAGAGAGGTTCAACTGTACAGTACTTTAATTTTTATAAAGTGTGACTTTATGGCAGAGACTTTAAAACAAGTTTGTAGTAAGCTAGAATTCATTATAAAAAGGTTCCATAAGCACAGTTGGACCTTGGCAATGAGCCAAAACCTTGCTTCTACAGTATAAACAAATAAGCCAAAGACTCAAATTTGAAAACTCTTTCCATCATATTTTCTTGAAATCTTTTGAAATTAAACTAAGAGAGGTTTCATTATTTTCAAAAAGTATTCAAATGATAAACTTACCCCAAGTATGAGTACGTTCATGAGCCGGTCTATGGATGTTCGCTTGAACTTGGTTTTCCCAGAATTCATCATCAATTTGGTGTCTTGTCCAGCAAACAACACCAGGCCATAAGCCCACTGGGTGTTGCGCAAAACACAACCTCGCAATAACACCTTGTCATTGTCCAATGCTAGTCTGCTGATGTTATTAGAACTTGAGGCCCTGCTGATGTTGTTGCTTGTTACCTCAACATCTCCTGAATTCTGTGATAGATGGTATAAAACCTATTTTTAAATTTCCCTACGTTAGTCTTTATATGGAGCAAATATTTACGCTCTGGTGGTCCCATTCAAGAGTGCCTTCAAATCTTGACAAATTGTTGTTGGGTGGTTCACACCAAACTGCTCCATTGAAGGCACTCAGAAGCTGGGGGTCATTGCCAAGTACATCATGTGTCTCAGGCAAGCACTGTCTAGCCTTCAAATTTGTTTCTCTGAATTTGAAAAAAAATATTTTGACTAAGTTGAAACTGTTTTTCAGGACAGCACTTATTTGAAGCTTATATCTAAGAAACAAAGATATTTCGAAGTTCAGCATGAAAACCAAATTCAGTGGGCTAAAACAAATTTATCATGTGCAATCTTTTTTTGAGATATGGATGACATAAGAATTTGTAAACCTTTTGAATTAATTTTGATTTCATATTCATATAGCAAATGATATTGATATAATTTTTGCAAGATCTCTGTACAACCTTTAGTCATTAAAAATTTGAAATGCACGTTATCATTGAGATAAATTTTGCATCATTCATAGTTTAAAGTTGAAAGCTTTAGGTCCAAGAATGAAGAGGGTCACTTCACATGTGAATGAGGAATGAAGAGCCTATTTTGTTTCTACAAACATACCCATCTAACTCAGCAGTTTCTATGTAGCATAGTCCATTCGGCTCAGATGTGGACAGCAGCAACAAATCAGCGGTGACAAAATCATCACTGGACAGTCTCACAACGTCCCCAACCAAAACCTGACTCCATTTCTCTTCCACCAACTGTCCTTTCCCTGGCCTCAGAACAAAAGCTTTCCTGTTGTTCACCTTTGAATCGTTTCTGTGTCTTTGCTGTCAAAAGATTAGCCAAACAATCAATGGGATTTATTTGAGAAATACTTGAAGTTCAAATTTCAAACCAGCAGTCCTTGGTCAATCAGGCCAACATAATTAAACCCTCTCAGATTCAAAAATTGTTGGCTTTAACCTCTTTCTATAAAATAGGTACATGCCATTTTTTAAATTATCTGGGACTAAATTTTAAAATACAGGTACTGTACTTGTTACAGTAATCAGAAAAATAAACAAAGAATAATGCTTTTCTTTGAGGATAAGTCATTTTTCTGCATGGAAAGATAATATATCTTTGATTGACCAAGAAATTAAAAAATTGGGCCATAAAATAAGTTTTTTTTGTTAGAATGCACAAATAATGCCACATTCTCTGACTTGAAAGCTTTCCGAATTGTTTTCATCTTCTGAAGTCCCTGTTGGGCATTAATAGAACCCAAAAAAAGGGATGATTAAGACGCCTAGAAAAAATAAACAACACAGGCAATCATGTGGTCAAAATTTTATATTTAATTGGACACCTTGAATATATGTACCTAATTTTTTCAAACAATTTATTGTGTAATTTGACGGCAGATAAATGACACAACTGGAATTCCCTCAGTGTATTCTCTTCACCACAGTCCCATACTAAATGTCCCATTAAAAATTTTAAATGTACAATGCTTTGCTTCAATAATAAATATCCCAGCTTCCAGAATACATTCAAAAACGGTTTTAAGCTAAGGCGAGTGGGTTAGTAGTATCCGTAGGAACTGACGACAATAACTGTCGTGTTTTTAGTTACCTTGTCGTCAACATTAGCCTCTGTCTCTGCTCTACTAGCCCTAGTCTTGCAGAATCAGCAAACAAAGGAAATAAAAGTTTGCCAACCGCTGGAATTGCTCAAACAAATTCAACGGAAGGAAAGACAGTGGCGTGTATTTCGATGTCCGAATATAGTTGTCCTGAAATTAAAAAAAAAACCATTGTTTCACATTTATATTCAAGAAATAAATCCCCAAAATGAAGAACTTTTTATGCGCAACAAGCATTTCAAAATCCTGGGTTTCCGCCGAAACGAACCGGAAAATGTGAAAGTTGACCCGAAAAGCTTTGAAAAATTCATCCCGGAATTGGGGAAAAAACAGTAAACAAGACGGAGTTCCGCAAATCGTCGGCCTCATTTTCGCATTCGTCGACAACCGAAGAGGGATTTTATTTTGAATAATGCACAAGGAACAAGGAACTCTGAATAATAGAAAACAACCACTTACCGCATACTGAAACTGAGCGTTGTACTCAGGATCATTAGCCCTGATCTTCCTTTCGGTTTCTGAACAAACAAAAAATTTCATTATAATGAAATCTCCGTACAACTAACTTTTAGAAACATCAGAAACAATTTTCTGCCCAGAGGTATTTGTTTTTACGAGAATTAAAAATGGAAAACATCTTGATATAAGGAGTGCGAATAATAAATTAGATATTGTTTTTATCGCATTCTCAATTTTTGAAGCATTGTTTGAAAAAGCTAAAAAATCTTTTGAAAAAAAGGCTTTCTTTCGGGAATAAAAAAATTGTGTCATGCTAAATGCATTTTCTGTGATATGGTATTTGTTGTAACAAGATTGTACTTTTCAAATCCTACAGATATGCATATTGAAACTGAATGGCATTTATTTTTCTGAACCAAGCCACTTTTTTCTTACCAGGTTCTTTAGACGATTTGCAACAGGAGAACATCCTGCAATTTCTTTTGGCACTGTTTCAAAAAAAAGCTTATGACCACAGACTTCCACTGGTAAATTAAAGTTTGCTACCACAGACAATAAACTCTCGTCATTTTAGGAGGTTTTGCGCAGCAGCGACTCAATAAATGTGGGTTCTTTTGTGCCCCCTATTCCTTGGGTCATTTCAGAGTTTGGCTCAAAAGCATGCCTTCTTGCAGGTGCACAGCATGTTGGTAACTGCAGACTCTGCAAAGCCAAGGGCTTTTGTAATGAGACACAGGCCCAGGCTGTTGCCATGACGAGGGTGAAAAACAAAGAATTAAAGGGGGGAAAACTCTTGGCATATCAAACTTGACCCAAAGGCAGGCGCAAGGCCACCTTGGCCCGCCTACCTGGCTGGCTGGCAAGGGCTGCAGCAGGCTGCTAACCATCTGTGCCCTTGCTGGTGAATGCCTTTTATTCCTCTCTTTCTATCTCTCTCCCTCTCCATCTATCTATCTATCTCTCTTTTGAGCTATTGGATCCGCACTTCCATCAGCAATTATTGATGTCTGAATGCATAGCAGACCACGTTGGCAATGTGTTCAATAACTTTCCCTGAAATCAATTTCCGGGCTTATGCAGGTGCTCTTCCTGATAACTTTGTTGCAACTAATGAGTGCTGAAAAGGTATAAATAAAAAATGTCGAATTAGTTATCTCAGTTGCTCTTATTAAAGTCACCCATGCATTCCTGCGTTTTTGAATGCTTGAATAGAATATAAAACATCTCCGCCAGGAAAATAAAATAATAATAATGTACTTGTTGGCCTGAAAAAATTACCCTCCCTTCTGATGTAACGTTATTCACAAAATATTTAAATTGTCCCTCAAGTCACTTTTCAGAAAGAAATGTCAAGTTTATCTTCCTAACTGATGATTGAGATTTTCAAAGAGCTTCATCACACCATGACCATAGCAATATCGAGATGTTTGCAAAAATAAAATTGATCTTCATTTGCAAAAATCGATTTTATATTTTTTCAAGCTGCAGGGGAAAAAATATTCGGCTGCAATTCAGGCAAACATCACTATATCCATCAATGCACTCATAAAAACTTTCTCCATAGTTCATCAAAAGCACCGTTATATTATACAGCAAGCTGAGGGCGACATCTATGTCAACTTCCATTGCATCAAAGCTGCATCAGTGCCCCCTGTTGTGATGATGAACGCATCATCTGCAGTGAATTTGGCTTGCGAAACGTAGGAGCTGTAGCTTTTTGTCTCCCTGAATCCGGCTTTGCTGCTGATTGTTGGGTGTCTTTTGTAAAATAAATTCAAATCAGAGTCACATATTTCAAGAGATGAGATACTGTATATGGTTGCTTATCTACCTGAACAACCTCAAATGCCCATCAACATCACCAACTGCTAGAAGCGTTTTTGAGTAAGATCTGTCACAACAGGCAATGGTTGGCTCCTCCACATAATTACTGTTCTTGAAAATACCTGTAAGAACATCAATAAATGATTTTAAAAATTTGGGAAAACGATATTTTCATGCATTTATCAAGAATCTCTAGCCTGCAGTGTCATATGCAATGGTGCAATTGGTGGAGTTCCAGGTGTCATCTTTCCTCTCAGCTGCAGGGACTTCAGCTTGTTTGCTCAGGTTCCCTGGGTGTAACAGAAGCAGGTTTCATTTTTGAAGCCAAATAAATCAGAAATCAATTGTTTTTTTACAATAGAATATGTCATGCTCTTGGGACTGTGTTCTAATGAATTCCCCAGAGGTAGACCAATCAAAGTTGGCCAATGGCAGTTTCCCAGAAAGTGTCATGGATCTCCTGAAGACCCAGCCTCCTCTTTCTGCCTTGTACAAGTACAAGTTTCCATTTTGGGAAGCCATGGCCAAGGTTCCTCCCCCTGCATAAAAAAAAAGAATCCCCATATGAATATGTTTTTTTTAAGGGATGGTTTTTTTCTACTGTTTGACCTGGTGCAAATGCTATGGCATTGACCCTTGCATTGGCTGTGGATTTCCATCGTTATACGAACGGTCACAGAGGAAACTCTTACCAGTGTACTGGTAGTTACCATGGGTGACGCTCTTCGAAGGGTAGGAGTAACTTTGAACGTCTTCGCGTAAGTCTGACTTGGACTAAACAATTTTCAGCAGTGGACATTTTTTCCTCTGGAACTGTGGAAATAAAAATATGCATCTTGACATACTTGCACTCTCCACTCTGGTTTGTGGTTCTTCCATTTGAGAATGTTTCTGTCAAAGCCTGCAGATGCAAATACTGGCAAACTGGGGTGAACAGCCAGAGCCCAGAGCTGCTTGGCATGACCTACAACCAGTGGTTGGAACTTGGACTGCAGTCCACCTTCTAGAATGAGGTTTTTGGTGGTGCCCACAAATAGTCCTGGTTCAGACTTCCCAGGCACTTGACACACTATTGACCTCACTCCCCCAGCTATTTCTGGCAGCTGCAAGATTTAATCCATTTAATTTGCATACATCCAAAACCAGATGATTGGTGTACCTATAACATGTAATACATGAACTAAATGCCATAATTAAGCAAGAACCACACCTATATCTTCTCTGAAAAATGAATGCAGAAATAAGTGGAATGTGCCATGTGTATGCTGCACTTATTGAAACCAAAACAAAAAATTAAACTAAGGGTGCAAGCCATAAGAGTGAATCTCCGCAGATGAACAAATTGAACAGGGAATCATGTTCAGCAGGATTTCTAGCCCTTGGACCGAAGAGGGTTCGTTTCCATCCAGCAGCAGAGTTGGGTTTTCAACAGGGAGGTGCATTTAAGTTTGACCAGCAGAGGTCACTGAAATACTGTACCCCCAGGTTGGGAAGGCCTAAGTTGAGTAAAATCTGAGTAGAGAAAGTCCCATTGTCTTGAAAAATCTCCAGTGTTAATCATATGCAAGGAATGCAGGAAAGAACACCACCCCATACATTTGTTTAGGCAAAATTGTCTGTAAGATAATAAAAAATATTAAACTCTTTTCTGACTTTTGGGCCTTCATTGAAAAGTGAATTTTTGTTTGTTTGCTGGGCTCAGGGGAAAAAAATTTTATAAAAATATTCTGACTTTAATTGCTGCAAACGGGTTAAAATCCTGTAAAATATTGAAAGTGTTTGATTCATTGTTTTGATTATCTTTATTATTTGGAAAATATTATTTTTAATGATTCGAAACTGGCGGGCAGGTATAAAAGTAGGAAACATTTTTGCGCAAATTCCACATCCAAAATCTGAGCTACACATCTAACTAATGTCATGTGGTACTCATCCAGTAAACATGGTATTGCAAAATAAATGTTTCTAATATGTGGCTGTGAAGCCCCATGGTAGGCAACAAATCTTTTGATGTGCCCTTAGCAATTTACCCTGGTTTCAGCCAGTATGGCAAAGTCAGCAAGAGGGTCCCAAGCAGTGATTCTTCTGTCAGTGTCACTTCCTGACACCAGGGATCCTTCAGGCATGGTGAAAATGCAAGTGACAGACTTGTCATGAGCTTGGATCTCTTTGAGAGCAACATAACCACCATCTCTAAGAGCCCATGTTGTTATCTTCCCATCCAAGTCCCCAGTGAAAATGTCACCATTTTTCTGGAAGTCTATGCATGTGATTGTCTGGGGCTTGGTTGACCCATTTTGCTGCGAGAAAACAGATTATGCAATAATTGAATCATTTCTGAAGGCTTTTGGTTTGGAATTACTGGTGAAATGGCGTCAGCTCTGTCAAAAGCGCCATCTCTTCGTTTGCCCCAGAAGCACAAATGGCTTCTTCCGTAGGTTATCACCAAGTTATTCTCTTGTGGGTGGAACTTGACCCCCGAAATCAAGTCTCGGTGCGTCTATGCAAAAACAATATCCCCATTTTAAACACAAGAATTGCAATGAAAATATATTTTTCAGCTTACATTGGCCTTTCCTGCCATTTCTCCTGACTCCCATTGCCAAACCCTCATGACGTGGTTCTCTCCAGACTCCACTGCTGCCACCAGTGAACCTTTGTTCTAGAGAAAAAATATTTAATTGGAGGAATTTATAAGATAGTCCCAATTTAATGATTGAATAATTTATATTCATGTGGTACAGTACTGTATTTGCTCACTTTGTTGGAAAATGCAAGAGATGCAATGCCAATCCTAATGTCTCCATTTCCCAGGACTTGCAGGGTTTCTAAAGTGGAAAGAGACCAAATCCGGATATGTGCTGCATTCCTTCTTGACCTGCCTTGCTTCTGCCCTGAAGCAGCAACATCTTTCTTGGGATGAAGTGACAGCCTTGATATTTAAAATATTTTCAGTCAAAACAAATGTCCAGAACGATGTCTGGAAATAAGGGGTCTTACGCAGAGATATCCTCTGTATGCTCAGTGTAGTGTCTCTGATGGTTCTTGTTCTTGTCATAAAGTACCACCACAGCAGCTACATAATAAATTAGCTCACCAGTGGCTGGGGCTACCATTAGGTTTTCTGTGCTGTCCATTCCTCTGTAGCCATACCTATTGTCAAGGAAAAAAAATTCCAAAACAAAATGAAGTTTGACAACAAAACTACAGAAATCACCAAAATCAACCAATTTCCCAACCTTTCCTTGCTTATTAAGGGTTGAAGTTTTAAATTTAAATTTACTTCAAAAGCACAAGCAGAGTTTACCAAAACAAGAAAATAAAACTAAGGAAATTTACATACAATGTTTTTAAAGATGCTGAAAACTATAAAACTACTGAACCCCCTGCATGCTCCAAAAACAGCTCTTTAAACCCCCCCCCCCCCCCCCCATCTGTTCAGTGTTTGAGATTAGATTGTGGAAAACATAAACAAAATAACAAAATTATTGGAATTTTTACCTCTGTCTTTGACCTGGCCACTAATAGAAACCAGCATTTATTGGAGACCAGAAGACATTTATTCAATCACTCATGGTATATAAACCCCATTAAGAATTCCCTAAAAGATTAACCCACAACACTGTATAAGAGAAAAGAAGGAAGAAAAACAAGCTTACACCCAGTCAAGTTTGAGGGTTTCCTTTGGAACACTGGAATCCACTTTGAAACTTTTGGACTTGCTGGAAGCATGCAAAATGTGCTGCTTGCCTCTGACTGTTATTGTAATTGGGTCACCTGTGAGGGCCTCTGGAACAATTTCTTTATTTTTTTTCAAACCAAAGACACATGCAAAATGATTGAAAAAATTGAGTTTTTTCAGAGAAAATAAATTCCTTCCTACCTTTGATGTTTGGTTCGCTTTGTGACCTGACCAACTTGTTGTTGACCTTTGGGGGCCTCAGACTCATCCTCGCGTTTTTATTAGTTACTATGTTTGTAGTGGCTCCTTCTTGGAGATAAAACTCATCCACATCCGCAAAATCATTCCTCAATTGTGACAAGCTTCTGACCTGAGGGGAAGAAATCGAACAATTGAGGCTTTGAAAGTGATGAAGTTTCATTCTGATTTTCTTTATATACCTGGGCATTCGACGGTGTGAGCATCCCAGAGACAGACTTCATCTTCAATACTTGACCCCAGTCGTTCAAGATGGCTTCAAAGCTTTGCGAGGTTTTCGGATTCAGCAAAACCCGGCTCTGCAGAATTTCGAAAAATTATCTTCTAGATTTCTCTTCCGCCATTAAAAAAAAATTAAAGACCCTGCTTACATTTTTTGTGGGGTCCTTCGCGTTGACAATGAGGATTCTTCTGCCCTCACGTGACCCCGGTACAGTGCTAGCTGATGACCCAGTGCTTGATGGCAAGGAATTCGATGACCCTGTGCTGGAGGAGCTGCCAACTGTCAGCCTGTTGCCAAAAGACGTTTCCCCTCTTTTCGGAATTTCGTCCTTATTTTTCCCAGTGTAGTCCATTCTCTGTGAGCAAAAGAAAATGTGGGCTGCAGCATTCAGTTCTTCATTATTATCATGACATACAGTATATTTGCACTCGTTACAGAAATAAATTCATTCATGAGAAAATAATTATGTGTTCTTTGAAGTCACTATTTGCACCATACAGAAGCTAGTGCATTATAGAGAGATAAGAATCTGGAGTAACAGTTTCCCAGATGCTCATCACCAAAGGAAAAGTTGGGTCTGGGTAATTGGGAATACAGTCAACCCCCGTCTAACGGACTTGATTTGTGCAATGGACGAGTCTGTTAGACAAAAAGTCCTTTACATAAATTCAATCACATAAAAAATTGAAAATTTCAATTTTTAACACTAATTTTAAACCAAAAGAAGTCTGTTTGGCAGATTTTGTCTGTTGGGTGGGAGGAAAAACTGCTTGCAGAGCTGGTCTGTTTGGAAAAAATCCATTACACGGGAGGTCTGTTAGGCGGGGGGGGGGGGGGGCACTGTATAACTACTGTATTCATAGTAAAGAAACCCACACAAAGTATATGATCCTCTGCCATGAAAAGTACTCAATAATTCAAACCAATAGTAGAAGTCTTGCTGGCCTTTTGTGCATATAGATGATAGAGGCTGCTAAAAGATAAGCACAAACATACCCTATTTTTCAACATAAATTCAACTATTATATAATGATATTCAGTTTTAACTTCTTTCAATATACAGGGTGGGCCAAAAAAAGTGAAGGGATTTTTTACTTGAAGTAGCTTGGTATAGAATATTAAGCTGCAACAATAGAAAAGCACCAAATGAAAGCTTGTTCAATTCTCATTCAAATGGTATGCATTTTTATGGTCCTAAGTACTCAGAATGGCCACAAGAACTATTTGAATGAAAACTTTAAAAATAAGTTGTCAGATGGCTTTTTCCACTAAGCTGCTGTTCTGGACGAGAGCTGTTTGCATGAATGGAGGAAATTCAGGATGCAATAATTAAGAAAACTTCATGCTATCTTGGAGAGCCTGTATATATACATATGTTCCCAAAATTCAGAAGGATCGGTTGGCAAGAGAGGAGTAAATTGGCAAGATAGGATGCTGCAGGGCTCCTGTTGTGCAAGTGTGATACTAGGTTTTGGCTTTGTGGCTCCTTGTGACCCACTGCATGCGCATTTTGTTTTCTGGACAGCTGAAACTGATTTTGAGAGAAAATAATTATAAATTGAAATGATTTTTAGTGAAACTAATTTTAAGCAATCCAGGTGTTGCACCCTGCATTTCCTCCATTCATGCATACAGCTCTCCAGAACAGAAGCTTTTTGGGGGGGGAGTTTCCATTCAAATGGTTCTTGTGACCTTTCTGGGGCACTTGGGACCATCAGTTCACCTCCGTTTGCTCACCCTGTAAATAGCTCAATTTGTTCAAGAGCTGTACAAATAAAAAAAATCAATTTTCTAATTTTCTAAAAATGCTAAAAAACACGTGTCCATATGTCAAGATATTGTCCAGATGCTGGGCCTGAATTTTTGAATTTTCAAGCGTCCCAAAGTCAAATTATCTGTACATCAGAATATTTGCATTTCAAGGTCCCACTGTATACAATAAATAATTCCCATTCAATTACTGTACTTGCTCAATAAAAAAAATCCCTGTTCAACCTCAGAGCTCATAACCAGAAGTCTGTGGATTAAAACCATGCTTTGCCATCAATTTTCCCAAAAGTTCAGAAGAGAGAAACAAATGATTCAAAAAATGGATTAGAAATAAATTTGAACAACACTCAGCATGGGGCAGACTATGAACTTTTTTTCCAAAAAAGTTCTTTATTATGAATGCCCATATTGTAATAACATCCACCACACACAAACTCAACTTGAATCAAACTTTCACTCACCACAACAAAATGATCTTTTTAGTTCATAGAACTGGTTTTTTTTCTGAGATGGTCCTCAACAATAGCACACAATAAGTACTGATGGGTTCCACAGTTTTCCAGCAACTGGTGCAAGTTATTTGGTAGTTTCCTCATTGCTGAGTTTTTACGGTTTTCCAAATTGGCCAGGAAAATTCAAGTTTGGGGAAAGTTTATTTGGCTGTATAATTTTCTGAAAGAAAATTCCGTTTCGTAGAACTGGGCTGGATGAAGAATTTCTATACATTTTTGAGGAAGTGGAGAATAGATTATGATCTGTAATTTTTACCCGTTTTTGTTTCCTCGGCAAAGCAAAGCAAGTTCTAAAGTGAGACGCACGCAGCAGAAAGTGAAACTATAGTATACTATAGAGTCCTGTTCTTGTACGAAATTTCTTTTGACGGCGACAAATGCCGCCGGTTGCAGGGGGAGGACAGTGACTTGAAATTTAATCGCGCATCTCGGGATGCGCCGAAAAAGATAAAAGGAGAAAGGAAAGGTTATTCCCCGAGAACCGGGGTAATATAAGCCAACAGTTAAATCGGCAAAAATCCTGAAAAGGAAAAGAAGCGGGAAAAAACGGCACACGGAACCAGGGCAATTCGAGCCGATTGTAAAATCGGCACCCTCCTGAAAAGGAAAAGAAATTGTTCTCTTTCAGCTAA